TACTAAAAATACAAAAACAAAATTAGCCGGGCATGGTGGCGGGTGCCTGTAGTCCCAGCTACTCCGGGGGCTGAGGCAGAGGAATGACATGAACCTGGGAGGCGGAGCTTGCAGTGAGCCGAGATCGCACCACTGCACTCCAGCCTGGGCAAAAGGAGCCAAGACTCTGTCTCAAAAAAAAAAAAAAAAAAGAAAAAAAAATTTTTTTGTTTTAATTTTATTTTTTTAATTTACTTTCTTTTTTTTTTTTTTTTTTTTTGAGTGGAGTCTCGCTCTGTCGCCCAGGCTGGAGTGCAGTGGCGCAATCTCGGCTCACTGCAAGCTCCGCCTCCCGGGTTCACGCCATTCTCCTGCCTCAGCCTCCCGAGTAGCTGGGACTACAGGCGCCCGCCACTGCGCCCGGTTAATTTTTTTTTCTATTTTTTAGTAGAGACGGGGTTTCACCATGGTCTCGTCTCCTGACCTTGTGATCCGCCCGCCTCGGCCTCCCAAAGTGCTGGGATTACAGGCGTGAGCACTGCGCCCGGCCTTAAATTTACTTTCTTAAAAAAATTAAGTTATAATTTACCCTTTCAGTGTTTACTTCTGTAAGTCTTAATGAACACTTGTAATTACCCAGAATGGTTGCCACAATCAGGATGTAGAGAAGAGTAGGCTGAAACGTGGTGGCTACGCCTGTAATCCCAGAACTTTGGGAGGCTGAGCGGGTGGATCACCTGAGGCTGGGAATTCAAGACCAGCCTGGCCAACATGGTAAAACCCCGTCTGTACTAAAAATACAAAAAAAAATTAGCCAGGCGATGTTAGTGCATGCCTATAGTCCCAGCTACTTCAGAAGGCTTGAGGCAAGGGAAACTCGCAGACCCGGGAGGCCGAAAGGTTGCAGTAAGCCGAGATCACGCCACTGCACTCCAGCCTGGTGTTAGAAGCGGAAGTGTCTCAAACAAAGCAAAAAACAAACAAACAAACAAACAAAAACAAAGATGTAGAAGAGTATAGAAATTTTACACCTGAAATTCCCTCATGCCTCTTGCTAGTCAGTCCCTCTCCTCAACCCCTGTGAGAATCATGGATCACTTTTCTGTGCAATAGTTATACTGTTCTGGAATGACATATAGATGGAATCATACAGCATGTGACTTTTTGGGTGTGACTTTTTTGCTCTTCCTTTGTGGATAACAGAATACTTTTTTTTTTTTTTTTTTTTTTTTTTGGGAGGTGAGGTCGCTCTGTCGCCCAGGCTGGAGTGCAGTGGCGCAATCTCGGCTTTTTTGAGACGGAGTCTCGCTCTGTCGCCCAGGCTGGAGTGCAGTGGCGCAATCTCGGCTCACTGCAAGCTCCGCCTCCCGGGTTCACGCCATTCTCCTGCCTCAGCCTCCCGAGTAGCTGGGACTACAGGCGCCCGCCACTGCGCCCGGTTAATTTTTTTCTATTTTTTAGTAGAGACGGGGTTTCACCATGGTCTCGATCTCCTGACCTTGTGATCCGCCCGCCTCGGCCTCCCAAAGTGCTGGGATTACAGGCGTGAGCCACTGCGCCCGGCCTTAAATTTACTTTCTTAAAAAAATTAAGTTATAATTTACCCTTTCAGTGTTTACTTCTGTAAGTCTTAATGAACACTTGTAATTGCAGAATGGTTGCCACAATCAGGATGTAGAAGAGTAGGCTGGGCGTGGTGGCTTACGCCTGTAATCCCAGAACTTTGGGAGGCTGAGGCGGGTGGATCACCTGAGGCTGGGAATTCAAGACCAGCCTGGCCAACATGGTAAAACCCCGTCTGTACTAAAAATACAAAAAATTAGCCAGGCGTGGTGGTGCATGCCTATAGTCCCAGCTACTTGGAAGGCTGAGGCAGGAGAATCGCTTGAACCCGGGAGGCGAAGGTTGCAGTAAGCCGAGATCACGCCACTGCACTCCAGCCTGGGTGACAGAGCGAGAGTGTCTCAAACAAAGCAAAAAACAAACAAACAAACAAACAAAAACAAAGATGTAGAAGAGTATAGAAATTTTACACCTGAAATTCCCTCATGCCTCTTGCTAGTCAGTCCCTCTCCTCAACCCCTGTGAGAATCATGGATCACTTTTCTGTGCAATAGTTATGCCTGTTCTGGAATGACATATAGATGGAATCATACAGCATGTGACTTTTTGGGTGTGACTTTTTTGCTCTTCCTTTGTGGATAACAGAATACTTTTTTTTTTTTTTTTTTTTTTTTTTTTGAGACGGAGTCTCGCTCTGTCGCCCAGGCTGGAGTGCAGTGGCGCAATCTCGGCTCACTGCAAGCTCCGCCTCCCGGGTTCACGCCATTCTCCTGCCTCAGCCTCCTGAGTAGCTGGGACTACAGGCGCCCGCCACTGCACCCGGCTAATTTTTTTCTATTTTTTTAGTAGAGACGGGGTTTCACCATGGTCTCGATCTCCTGACCTTGTGATCCGCCCGCCTTGGCCTCCCAAAGTGCTGGGATTACAGGCGTGAGCCACCACGCCCGGCCTTACTTTTTTTGCCTGAACCATTATAATATTTTAAATTATTTTTTTGTCATTGTAATAACTTCTGTTTTAAAATATGCAGCATGAGGCCGGGTGTGATGGCACACGCCTGTAATCCTAGCACTTTGGGAGGCCGAGGTGGGAGGATCCCTTGAGCCCAGGAGTTTGAGACCAGCCTGGGCAACAAGGCAAAACCCTATCTCTACTAAAAATATGTAAAAATTAGCCAGGCATGGTGGTGTGCACCTGTGCTCCCAACTATTTGGGAGGCTGAGGTGGGAAGATGACCTGAGCCTGGGGAGGTTGAGGCTGCAGTGAGCCATGATCATGCCACTGCACCCCAGCCTGAGCTACAGAGTGAGATCCTGTCTCAAAAAGGAAAAAAAAAAAAAGGCAGCATGTTCTATGTGAGGGCTCCTCTCATTAGTACTTATATGGAGCAGGTGAGCTCTTTGGCGCTGCGCACCACCGGCTGCTCATTACTCAACATGGTCTTACTGATGTCCACACCATCTCCTTTTCCAACCTGCAGGCTCCCTCAGGGATGGGAACCCACCCAGTCTTCATGTCCTTTTCTGTTTGGGGAGATTCCTGTTTAAATTTCTTTTCGGGGATTCTTGAATCCCCAAACTCTGACCAAACAATTAATACTCTTTTTTTTCCCCCTGGAAAACAATGGGATTCATAAATCGTGACCATTGTCCATTGTTTTGAAATAGGTTCTCAGTAAGAACTGCGTGCCTTCTATTTTGGAAAAGAAATTATATTTACTGCAACAAAAGAACATGATTTATCTGTAAAAGTCCCTGCCACACATGCTACCCATTTGTAGTTTTAATGTTTCTGTGAAATAATAAGCAAACTGGCCCTTGACCCTCCTTCATAGGCATTGTAGAGTTATGATTGGCTATTACCCACTGCTCAACATCTGTGCCCAGGGGAGGTCATCCAAGGATGAGTCCTCCCCATCCTTCATCCTTGATGGAATGTCTCTGGCAGGCCCACCGAGCTTGGTGGTGAGATACGGGCAAAGCCCTATGGATCTACCCCTATGTGCAAGCAAGCCAGAGCCCCTACCCCATATCTTCACTGTGCTGAGGGCAGTTTAGCTCTGACTGTGGCTGAAGACTCCAGCAAAGGATGAGGGGACAGAACCAGCCTCTGATGGGCTCTGTCTCTAGGTGTTCTAAAAGGTTGATTTCTTTGCTTATTAAAGGGTTTTATTTTTTATTTTTTATTTTGAGATGGAGTCTCGCTATGTCGCCCAGGCTGGAGTGCAGTGGCACTATCTCGGCTCACTGCAAGCTCTGCCTCCCGGGTTCACGCCATTCTCCTGTCTCAGCCTTCCGAGTAGCTGGGACTACAGTCACCCGCCCCACGCCCGGCTAATTGTTTTTGTATTTTTAGTAGAGACGGGGTTTCACCGTGTTAACCAGGGTGGTCTCGATCTCCTGACTTCGTGATCTGCCCTCCTTGGCTTCCCAAAGTGCTGGGATTACAGGTGTGAGCCACCGTGCCTGGCTCATTAGAAGAGTTTAAAGGTTGGCCTGGACCAGAGAAGGTCGTTACCCCGATTCTGGTGAGAATCGGAACTTCCCCTCCCCCAGCACTTAGTGCAGGGTCTGATGCTGGGATGTGGATAATGTTGAATGGATGTGATCTTGAACCTCTCTGAAGTTTTCTCAGACTCTGCTCCATGCTCCCCTAACAGGGTGAGAGCATTTACCGCACCCTCCCTACTTCCCCTTCTCACATATGCACGCTCACACTCACACGTAGTCTCACACTCACGCATCTATCCTCACACACATACTCGTTTAATGTGCACGCACACACCTTAGCATCAGGCTGAGCAGCCGGGGGACATTACTGCCGGAGACTGACACCAGTTCTCCTTTAGGCCCAGGCCAGGTGTTGGGGAGTGTCTGTGGGTTGCCCTCCAGATCCCTCAGCCTCTGGCATGGACCCCAGGTGGGCAGCTCTAGTCACATAACTGGTAGTGTTTCCCGAATGGTCAAACTGGGCTGGGAATCAGCCAGCTGGGTGTTCAGTCCTGGCCAAGTCACTCCGAGCCATGTGTCTTTGCACAAATTATTTTGCATTTCTAGGCCTTGATTTTCCTCATCCATAAAATGGGGTTCATCATTGGATGGTTGTGTGGATTTATTGAGCCATCTTGTAAAACACAGAGTGGAGTGCTTGGCTTAGAGTAAGAGTTCAATAAGTAATATTCCTAGAAATAATAAGGCAGAGACTCCAGCTCATGAAGAAACCTTTTAGGTTTGTACTTGGCAATTTGTATTGACAGAAGGGCAGGCCCATGGTGCCTGCAGGTCTGGGTCACAAGCTTGTGAAGTTGGACTGGCATTGGATGTGGCAGAGCAGGGCTCAGGACATACGTTCTGCTGAGCTGATAGCTGAGGACTACTCAGCTGCACCTTCCTCACTGAGCCCTGCCCGGGTTCCGTGATCTCATGCTGCCTCTGATAGCCCTGTTCTTGGTTTTGCAGCCGGAGCCTAAGCCTGGAGACCTGATTGAGATTTTTCGCCCTTTCTACAGACACTGGGCCATCTATGTTGGCGATGGATATGTGGTTCACCTGGCCCCTCCAAGTAAGAACACACAGGACCTCCACTGTGATGGGCCCCAGGGACTGGGAAGAGAGGGGATGGGGAACTGTGGGTAACAGGTGACCCCAACATTCTTCTTGCTTCCCAACTGGCAGCTGTCTCTGAGTGTTACAAGAAGTTTGATGTGGGGCAGTTTGGTGTGGGGCACTGGTTTTCAAGGTCTGCTCCTTGGAACCTCAGGGGGTTCTTTAGAGCAGGGGTCCCCAACCTCCAGGCCCCGGACTGGTACTGGTTAGGAACTGGGCTGCAGAGCAGGAGGTGAGTGGCGGGCAAGCGAGTGAAACTTCGTCTGTATTTACAGCTGCTCCCCATCGCTTGCATTACCACCTGAGCTCCGCCTCCTGTCAGATCAGCAGCGGCATTAGATTCCCATAGGATCATGAACCCTACTGTGAACTGCACACACAAGCGATCTAGGTTGCACACTCCTTGTATTAGTCTGTTTTCATACTGCTATAAAGAACTACCTGAGACTGGGTAATTTATAAAGAAAGGAGGTTTAATTGACTCACAATTCTGCATGGCTGGGGAGGCCTTGGGAAACTTACCATTATGGCAGAAGGTGAAGGGGAAGCAAGGCAGGTCTTACACGGTCTCAGGAGGCAGGGGAGTACCACACTTTTTTTTTTTTAGATAGAGTTTCGCTCTTGTTGCCCAGGCTGGAGTGCAATGGCACAATCTCGGCTCACTGCAAACTCCACCTCCCGGGTTCAAGTGATTCTCCTGTCTCAGCCTCCCGAGTAGCTGGGATTACAGGCACCTGCCACCACACCCGACTAATTTTTCTGTTTTTAGTAGAGATGGATTTTCATCATATTGGTCAGGCTGGTCTTGAACTCTGGACCTCAGGAGATCCACCTGCCTCAGTCTCCCAAAGTGCTGGGATGACAGGCATGAGCCACTGCGTCCAAAGTACCACACTTTTAAACCATGAGATCTTGTGAGAACTCACTCATTATCACGAGAACAACATGAGGGAAATCTCGCTCATTATCATGAGAACAACATGAGGGAAATCTCGCTCATGATTCAATCACCTCCCACATAGTCCCTCCCCTGACATGTGGGGATTACAGTTCAACATGAGATTTGGGTGGGGATACAGAGCCAAACCATATCACTCCTTATGAAAATCTAATGCCTGATGATCTGTCACTGTCACACATCACCCCAGAAGGGACTGTCTAGTTGCAGGAAAACAAGCTCAGGGCTCCTACTGATTCTGCATTATGGTGAGTTGTATGATTATTTCATTATATATTACAATGTAATAATAATAGAAATAAAGTGCACAATAAACGTCATGTGCTTGAATCATCCCCAAACCATCCCTCCCCCCTGCCTAGTCCATGGAAAAATTGTCTTCCATGAAACCTGTCCCTGATGCTAAAAAGGTTGGGGACCGCTGCTTTAGAGGGACCGAGGTGGTATCTGAGGAGGAAACTCTGCTTTGATTTTTTTTATGCTGTGACTTTGTATGCAATACACTCAAAAAAAATTTTTTTTTTGACAGAGTCTCACTCTGTTGCCCAGGCTGGAGTGCAGTGGTGTGATCTCAGCTCACTGCAAGCTCTGCCTCCTGGGTTCACACCATTCTCCTGCCTCAGCCTCCTGAGTAGCTGGGACTACAGGTGCCTGGCACCACACCGGACTAATTTTTTGTATTTTTAGTAGAGATGGGGTTTCACTGTGTTCGGCAGGATGGTCTCGATCTCCGGACCTTGTGATCTACCCACCTTGGCCTCCCAAAGTGCTGGGATTACAGGCGTCAGCCACCGCGCCCGGCCGCAACACACTCAACTCTTAAGCATAAAGCTCCTGGGAAGAGTGCAGGTGTTTGGGCAGAGAGATTGGTTATGAATCCAGTTTCCATTCTTCAGCCTTGGTTTCCTTTTTTTGCAAACTGAGGATATGAATACTTAACTTGGAGAACTCTCATGAGAATTCCTCACCCTTCTCTTAAGCCTTTAACTTAAACTGGGGTATAACATAAATATTGTAAAATGTATAAGCATAGTAAAGTATACAGTCAGTGAATTAAAAAAAAAATCCATTTATGTAACAATGTCCCAGATCAACAACTAGAACATTCCCACTGTGCCACTTACCCTGAAAGGCTCTCTCATGCTTCTACAATATCCCCTCCGCACCCCTCGCCCAGGCAACCATCATTCTAGCTTTTCCTGCCATAGATGAGGTTTGCCTGTTCTAGAACTTCATGGAAGAGGTATCACATGGCCTACACTCTTTTGTGTCTGGCTTCTTTTAGCAAACATCATGCTCATGTGAGTCATCCATGCTACTGTGAGTAGCAGGAGATCTTTTTCACTGCTGTGTATTTTCTGTTATATGAATATGCCACAATTTAGCATCCATTTTTCTGACATCAGACTCATTGCAGGTTTTGACCGCTATGAATAGAACTGTTATAGACCCTCTTTTTTTTTTTTTTTCCTGAGGCAGAGTCTTGCTCTGTGGCCCAGGCTGGAGTGCAGTGGCATGATCTTGGCTCACTGCAACCTCTGCCTCCTGGGTTTAAGCGAGTCTCCTGCCTCAGCCTCTGGAGTAGCTGGGATTACAGGCGTGCGCCACCATGCCCAGCTAAGTTTTGTATTTTTAGTAGAGGTGGTATTTCACCATGTTGGCCGGGCTGATCTCAAACTCCTGACCTTAAGTGATCTGCCCGCCTTGGCCTCCCAAAGTGCTGGGATTACAGGCGTGAGCCACCGCGCCTGGCCTTCTGGAATGTTTTATTTTTATCCTTATTTTTTTTTGAGACAGAGTCTTGCTCTGTTGCCTATGCTGGAGTGCAGTGGTGCAATCTCGACTCACTGCAACCTACACCTCCCGGGTTCAAGCGATTCTCTTGCCTCAGCCTCCTGAGTAGCTGGGATTACAGGCACACACCTTCCCCCAAGGCCCACAGCCACGTGTCTGACACTTCCACATGTTGCTTATCCTATGTGAATGGAGCCAAGGGCAGATACCCTGCTGGGGGCCAGCTCTGAGCCTCTGGGCCCTTCCCAGAACCAATCTGTTTCCTCTTTGTGGATCTGCAGGTGAGGTTGCAGGAGCGGGTGCAGCCAGCGTCATGTCTGCCCTGACTGACAAGGCCATCGTGAAGAAGGAATTGCTGTATGATGTGGCCGGGAGTGACAAGTACCAGGTCAACAACAAACATGATGACAAGTACTCACCGCTGCCCTATAGCAAAATCATCCAGCGGGCGGAGGAGCTGGTGGGGCAGGAGGTGCTCTACAAGCTGACCAGCGAGAACTGCGAGCACTTTGTGAACGAGCTGCGCTATGGAGTCGCTCGCAGTGACCAGGTGCGTCCTCCGCCCATGTCGCCTTCCCCAGGAACAAGACCATTCCCTCAGGTGACGGAGGCTGGGCATGGCTACGGAAACATGAACAAGACAAAGTAGCAGAGACAGAATTACTGCCCTTAAGGATGTCACAGTTGGAGTGGGGACAAGGGTGGGGAAAGAGGCAAGTTGGCAGATCATTGTAGTCGGGGCTGGGGGTGGGTAGCCAAGGAAGGGAGTCACAGACATGATATTCATTCCTGTTACCAAGCCCTCCCTAGCCATGTGTCCCTGAGATGGCCCTCCCAGCCCTAAAGGCAGGTTTTAGGACCCACTACCTTACAGATTGGGAAACTGAGCTTAAGTAACTTGTCTACAGCCATTCATTTCATCAAAAAAATCTTTGTTGAGTCTCCAGACCTGGTACCTGTCTTTTCCTGTGCAGATAATTCGCAGAGCTGGGATTTGAAGCCCAGGTCTGTGTGGCATAGCCCGATCGTGCTTATAAACAGCACTGTCTTCAGCTTGGCTGAACCGTAAGGGTGAATCTGGGAGACCCTAGGGGATGCAGTTTTGTTCATTTACTTGATTTTATTTTTGTCATTCCTCTCCTTTCAATCTCGTTTTTGCCTCCCATTTTCTTGCACTTCTTCCCCCTCCCTTTCAGCCACTTCCATCTTTTTTTTTTTTTTTTTTTTTTTTTCTTGCATAGGTGAAAAGAACATTGGGAAGGTTCTTACATGGCTGTTGATACAAAAGGACATATATTTTTTTCAGTGAATGATTAGGTTAAGATCCATCAGGCTGTTCACTTTTATTATTATTATTTTTGAGATCCAATTTCTTCTTCCCTGGTCAGTGTGGGTGGTTAAGAGCATGGGCTCCTGGAGTCAGGCCAACGTGGGCTGGACCTGGTCTCTGCCTTTTGCCGGCTGTCTGACCTCAGGAGAGTTAGTCTAGCTCCCTACACTTTGGTAAAGTACGAATGATAATACTCATCTTGGAGGATTACCATGTGAATTAAATAAGAGCATATTTATTCTTAGCACAGTGCTGACTCAAAAAATTCACTGAATACATTGTAGTAGTAAAAATAGTCATAATTATCCTCTTTTTTTTTTTTTTTTTTGCTTGGTTCATCCAGTGCCTGGTCCACTGGCCTCTGTGGGCCACAGCGACTTGAATGGGAAGACATTGACTAACACCACCTGTAGGAATCACTGTTACTGTGTTCACACTGCTGATAACCAGCTGTGCTTACTACACCAACCCTCATGTTTGTTAGGCGGCTCCTACACCTGTCTACAGTGAGATATTAGTTACCTTTAAACGGGTATCCTCTTACCTTTTTTTCAATCAGCTGGGTTATTAATGTTCAACAACTAGTTATATACGAATGTTAAAGGTGATCAACTTAGAAATTGAGTAGGTGGTACATAGCTAACTAGGTAAAGAAAGGGCAGTATTGCCAATGTTTGTGAAGACTGCAGTCTGTCGGTCATGGTCTGGCTTCAACTTCCCCGAGAGTTGGTAAGAGCTTTCTTCTGGGGAATCAGTGGGAAGGGCCATGAGAAGTTCGTTAGTGCCCGAATATTGGCAGGTTTTAAAAGGTGATGCAATGAAAGCAGGAGACCAGGGGATAGTGGCACTTACCACATCTATCTCTTGGGGATAACAGCCTTCAAAACATTTGTCTCTTGTTTTTCTTTTCTTAAAACAATTTTATTTTAGGCTGGTCACAGTGGCTCACGCCTGTAATCCCAGCACTTTGGGAGACTGAAGCAGGCAGACCACTTGAGGTCAGGAGTTTGAGACCAGCCTGGCCAACATGGTGAAACCCCGTCTCCACTAAAAATACAAAGGCCGGGCATGGTGGCTCACGCCTGTAATCCCAGCACTTTGGGAGGCCAAGGCGGGCAGATCATGAGGTCAGGAGATCGCGATCATCCTGGCTAACATGGTAAAACCCCGTCTCTACTAAAAATACAAAAACTTAGCCAGACATGGTGGTGGGTACCTGTGGTCCCAGCTACTCGGGAGGCTGAGGCAGGAGAATGGCGTGAACCCAGGAGGTGGAGCTTGTAGTGAGCCGAGATGGCACCACTGCACTCCTGTCTGGGCAATGGAGTGAGACTCCGTCTCAAAAAAAAAAAAAAAAAAAAAAAAAAAAAAAAAAAAAAAATTGGCCAGTTGGCCAGGCGTGGTGGTGAGTATCTGTAATCCCAGCTACTTGGGAGACTGAGGCAAGATAATCACTTGAACCCGGGAGGCAGAGGTTGCAGTGAGCCAAGATCGAACCATTGCACTCCAGCCTAGGCAACAGAGCGAGACCCAGTCTCAAAAAAAACAGAGACAAGGTCTCACTCTGTTGCCAAGGCTGGTCTTGAACTCCTGAGCTCAAATGATCCTAATGCCTCAGCCTCCCAAAGTGCTAGGATTATAGACATAAGCCACTGTACCTGGCCACATTTGTCTCTTGAGTCACACTTGATGAGGCATGGCTGTCATCTTGGTATCTCTTTTTACTAGCATCCTAGAAATTCCTTTCGGTTCCCTGCTGTATTAATGCTTTTATCCTCTGTAGTTCACATCTTTCTCTTTTTTGGTTTATGCCCTTGTTTTGGTAGACTACTTCCCCTAATAGTTTACTGAGAAATGGTACATTTGAAAAAGATCCCTAGGCAGGCATGGTGGCATGTGCCTGTAATCCCAGCTACTCGAGAGGCTGAGGCACAAGAATTGCTTGAACCCAGGAGGCAGAGGTTGTTGCAATGAACTGAGCTGAGATCACGCCACTGTACTCCAGCCTGGGTGACAGAGTGAGACTTGGTCTAAACAAAACAAAACAAAAAAACCAAGAAACAAAAAAACAAACAAACAAAACAAGATCTCGCATGCCTGAGAATATCTTCATTTTATCCTCACATTTGATTAAGGCTGGGTATAGAATTCTAGGTTAGAAACAGTGTGTTTTTTTTCAGAATTTTGAAGGCATTGGTTTATTGTCATCTAGTTTTTGCTACTGTGGTAGAGAAGTCTGAAGCTGTTCTGGTTTTTGATCCGTTGTGTGTGATCGATTATTTCTTTTCAGAACCGTATAGAATCTTCTCTTCATTCTCAGTGTTCTGAAATTTTATTACCTTGCACGGATCTATTTTTGGTATTGTGCCAGGTACTCAATGACTCCTGTCAATTTGGAAACTCAGTTTCTTTAGTTCTGGGAAATTTTCCATTTTGTGTTCTCTGGCACTCCTATTATTAGACTGTTGGACCCCCTAGACTGCTCCGCTGATTTTCTTATCTTCTCTCTCTTGTTTTCCATTTAAGTATCTTTTTATTTATTTATTAAGACAGAGTCTTGTTTTGCTGCCCAGGCTAGAGCACAGTGGTGCGATGTTGGCTCACTGTAGCCTCCACCTTCTGGGTTCACGTGGTTCTCCTGTCTCAGCCTCCAGAGCAGCTGGGACTACAGGCATGTGCCACCACACCTGGGTAATTTTTGTATTTTTATTAGAGATGGGGTTTCCCCATATTGGCCAGGCTGGTCTGGAATTCCTGACCTCAAGTGATCTGCCTGTTTCCGCCTCCCAAAGTGCTGAGATTACAGGTGTGAGCCACTGTGCCTGGCCCATTTATGTATCTTTTAAATTTGAAAGTGAACATTTATTAACAAATTTAGGTATAATAGAAGTTTTTTTTTTTTTTTTTGAAATAGCAGTGACAATATTAGCATAAGAAAGGGAAACATGATAAAAAATTGAATTTCATCATTGGTGATCTTGCATTATGAGTTTTTTACTTACTCATGGTAAAACTCATGCTCCTATGCAGCAAGAAACTCCAAATACAGAGTACAAGACAACCCTGGGAATCAGTAAGATGCTTTTTGAAATTCAGAGTGCTACATTAAGAATATTTGGTAGGTTTACAAAATATATCCTAATCATCTCATTTAGTTATTCTTTCAGCAGTTGTTAATAGAATAAACAATGGGTCTGACCAGGCGTGGTGGCTCACACTTGTAATCCCAGCACTTCGGGAGGCCGAGGCGGGTAGATCACCTAAGGTCAGGAGTTCGAGACCACAGTGGCCAAGATGGTGAAACCTCATCTCTACTAAAAATACAAAAATTAGCTGGCCGTGATGGCGGGCACCTATAATCCCAGCTACTACGGAGGCTAAGGCAGGAGAATCACTTGAACTCGGGAGGCAGAGGTTGCAGTGGACTGAGATTGCGCCACTGTACAACAGAGCAAGATACCATCTCAAAAGAAAAAAAAGAGGTCCACAAGTTTATATAAGTAGAGAATTTTTTGTCAACACAAAATTGTTACATAATTAGTAAACTACATTGTCATTAGGAACAAATGCTATTTTTAATTTTAATTTTTTTTAGAGAAGGGTCTTCCTCTGTTACCCAGGCTGGAGTGCAGTGCCACAACCTCAGCTCACTACTGCCTCAACCTCCCAGGCTCAAGTGATCCTCCCACCTCAGCTTCCCAAGTAGCTAGGACTAGGCCAGGTGCAGTGGCTCACGCCTGGAATTCCAGCACTTTGTGAGCCTCAGGTGGGCAGATCACTCGAGGCCAGGAGTTTGAGACCAGCCTGGCCAACATGGTGAAACCCTGTCTCTACTAAAAATACAAAAATTAGCTGGGCGTGATTGCGGGCACCTGTAGTCCCAATTACTCAGGAGGTTGACGCAGGAGAATTGCTTGAACTCTGGAGGTGGAGGTTGCGGTGAGCCAAGATTGCACCACTGCACTCTAGCCTGGGCAACAGAGCGAGACTCTGTCTCAAACACACACACACACACACACCAAGTAGCTAGGACTACGGGTGCACATCACCATGCCCGGCTGATTTTTGTATTTTTTGTAGAGACAGGGTCTCACTTTGTTGTCTGGGCTGGTCTTAAACTCCTGGGCTCTAGCAGCTCTCCTGCCTCAGCCTCCCAAAGTGCTAGAATTATAGGTGTGAGCCACTGTGCCTGGCCACAAATGCTATTGAGAGTAATTAAATAAAATTCCAAATCTTGAGATAGTAAAATAAGAAATGTTTTATACCATTAT